TCGTACAGCAAATAATAGAGGCAAATGCGATACTAGGAATGAATAAACTATTTGGAATGCTCTGGAATTCTTTCAAATATAGAGCAAATTCTATTTCGGAACTTGTTAATCTCGAATTTATCAAATCCGCACACATTTTCTTTTTACTTTTTGAATATCAAAAAAAAACTTCTTAAAATTTCCTTTTTTTTATAAACAAGCCAAGTCCATTGTAAATACCCATCCTAGACGTCAAGCTCGTTAACTTTGTCAAAATTGGAGTAGTGTTCTATAGAACTAACCATTTGTGTATATTACGAAGTTTGGATATATTCTGCATTTCAATTTGGAAAAATTATTTTCCTTTTTAAAAGTTATGCCAACAAATTTCGACTACAGACAACATTAGTAAATGCCCCTCCTAGACTAGAAAATGTCATTATTTTGTCGCCGAGCTGATTTTTATTTATTTTCGGTTTGACCCCAAGATAAATTCCACATAAATTGGAAACACAAATTGTTTAAATATTTTTGTGTATCAGATTTTTGTCTTTAGACATTCCAAGTCCTACCCCTACTAGTTTCCAAACTTCCATAACTCTGCTCTTTCATTATAGAGTGTTTAGTGACTGACGCTCAGTTGTTCTGGCTGCCAGTTATTATATTTTATTGTTGCTAATATTTAACAAATGATGCATTACAACGCCGGCCAGCTGAGCCTAAGCTGTGTGGCTCCAGGTTCAGGCGCTGTGAGTGAGGGCAAACGCAAGACAATGGCTTTGGCAGGTTTGGCTTGGAAGATGCAGCCATGATGCAGCCGGCTTTGGGCCTGCGGCTAACTTATTGCTATCGCACAATCTGTTGCAACTAATAGGAAGTTGGAAGTTGGGAGGGGGCAGAGCCGCAGCGCAAAAACAACTTACAGCACTTTTCATTGGCATTGTGAAAGCCTTGGTCAGCAATTATCTAAGTCAGCCATTGTTCCGTACCGCCGATCTCTCTGACTTTGACTAATTTGCAAAAAGCAAAAGCCAGCAACAGAGTCCAGCATAAGCTTGGATCGTGCGCTCCACACCATGTTGCATGCAACCAGGCAAGCGGCCCCCATTGCCTGTCATCTGTCATCTGGAGCTCGCTTGGTGTAAGGATACGTAAATCTTGACAAGCGGCAGCAATAAATTCTAATGAGCAAATCGCAAAAGGAAATGCAACGTTCTCGTTTGCCTACCTTTTTTATTTCGTTTGCCTGGCCTGTCTTGGCTCAGGATGTTGTCGTAGTCAGATTTATGTGGCAGGCGCGGCAGCTGTGAATGCCATTTGTCCAATTAGTCAGCCCAGCGAGCAGCAGCCGGAGTCCATATAGGGACGGTGCCCGGGACTTAGCTGGAGGGGGTGGTGGAGAGGGGGCGGGGAGTGAGGGTGACTCGCTTGCAACTTGTTAAATTTAGCGCATTACAATGGATTCATAAATTTTCGCCTCTAATGCTGATTTCTAATCTTCGATGATGTCATGAACAGCTCTCAATTCTATAAACTACACCTATAAATAATCATTTTTCGCTGCGGTCAATCGACGCAGCGCTTTTTTCTTGTTTTTATTTATTTTTTGTTTATTTTGTTTTGATTTTATTTGTTGCCAATTGCCGTTGTTGTTGTTGTTGTTGCTGTGGTTTTTTGCACGTCACCTCACACAGAGCAGCAACAGCAACAACAATGCCAATCGCTGTGTCCAGATAAGCGTATAAAGTGTGCGCCCAAAAATAGCTAGATAAATACAAAATAAATTCGAATCAAATGTTTTACACATAAATAAAGTCACAAACGAACATTTGTCTACGGCCCAGTAAGCGGGCACAAAGGAAAATCGCTTGGAAAATGTTCAAATTCAACATTTGCGTCATTTACATATGTCATTCACACGTTCAACAAATCGAAATATAATTCAATTACCGATTTTGTATTGCCTGCAGTTGTGAAATCCCTATACCATCATTTATATGGCCTAAATATTAAGTATACGCGCCTTTGGCTTACGCATCTCTTGCTGTTTGCCCAAATAATTTGCATAGTTTCTGTTGTCTCAACGTCTTGAACTCGGGAAACTTTTGAAGTAGCGCTGCTTTGTTGAGGAAGGTTTCCAATTTCAATTAGCATGCCTGGCTTTTTGCGGTCAGCCTGGGGTCAATTAACCCGCGGGCAGCGGCATTGATTGGAAAGCAAAAGTGTGAGCCATTCATCAAGCTCACAAGCCGGAGAATTTTGCATTAAAACATTCAAGTGCCTGCAATAAATTTGTTAAAAGCGAATTCCTCAACCAAAACGAACTCTACAATTCAATGGCCAGTCAATTTAATAGATTGTAAAACCAAATAGCTTAGCTTATTAACCACAACTTGATTAGTTTCCATTTTGATTAGCTGCCAATTGGTTTTTATTTTCAAACATATTTATTTTATGTATTTAATTTGATTTCTCAAATTGCTTTTAATTGGTTTTCACTCCCTTTTATTACACATTTTCTTCGTATTTTATTATCAGTCGAAAATAAATATTATTTATTTGCCCGACCATATCAAATATATTTTGAGCACACACATTTTCAGCCCAACCAGATTATTATGCTCGTTGCCTTAACTGTGTCAATAGCCGCCTTTTTATGTGTTTGGCACTCGCTCGCATGTCCAGCAAAATATAAAAAATGAACCGCAGCAACCAAAACCATATGCGAAATTCAATTTGATTAAAAATCTTGTCATGCTTCACTCAAAAAATCAACAGCAAAAAAAACTGTGAAGCCGGCTCTATAAAAAATTATACAAAATTTGCATAGGGCTGTGAATGAATGTGTTCGCATGTAAAAATCGAAAATAAAATATAAATAAAATTACAAACGAGTCGATATAGTTTTTGGCCAAAACTAAACTTGCCTATGGCCAACAACTGGCCGTGCCTGAGGTTATTTACGATTTCTTTTGTATGCAAACACTTGCTTTGCCTTTAATTGTCGGATTGGCTTATATAAAATCATATGCAAACTATATAGGCATACATATTTAAGGCACTATTTCACGCATTCGACTCATCATTTCAATAAATATCACGCTCTAACAATGCCAAAATAGTTATGTCAATATATATATATATACATATTTTCGCATTGCTCTAGAAAGTTTTCTTTATGTCCGACTGAATCAACATGCAGGAAGTTTGGTTCCGCAAATATGTAGTTGTCGTCATTTGCTATAAGAAACAACATTTGCTCATTAAGTACACGGGAAAAGCGATACTCAGCTACTCGAGTGATAAGCAGCTGTGACTTCAGCCAGACGGCTTGGTTCCACTTTTGCGCCAGTCAATTATTTTGGGATCATTCTGTCTACCTTTACTGTGCGCGTCATCTAAATATGTAACTAGCTTTCAGTAGAAGTTGTGACTAAATTACGCAGAAGAAAAGTGCATATTTATTGTTGTTATTCGTCAGCAGGAAATACGAGAATGATATTCAAACAATTAAGATTACTATCGGTTCATCTCAACAACATTGTTCACTTTTATTATGTAGAATACCATTTCTTCAAAAATGTTCAGTGTCTAAAGATAACTACCCTTTTCTTTATCAAAAAATTAAAATTGCATTTTTTCTTCAATATCGCCCTACTATCCGATTCTCACGAATTCAATAAAATCGTACTCTCTAAAGCAGTACTATGCTAGACTGTACTATACTATACTTAAAGCTAAGAAACTGCTGAAACACGAATTGTTAAATGTCGCCCTTCTATCCAATTCTCATGAATTCAATTCTATACCTTATAGAGTATGCATAGCTCTGTTCTCCTAGTCCTAATGGATATAATAGCCATTATTTTGATGAAGGTTTGGTGTATTTTCATTTACTTACTGCTGCATATGTTGAAAATATTTCTATTCTTTTGGGCTCGCCCTAAAAAGTCATTGGCCATTGGCTGGCAACGTCTCTGGCAAGCTTTTAATTTACCAAATGGCCTCTGGGTGCAGCGTCAAAAGTTATGAAAGACAAGAACCTTGGGGCACGCGATTTAGGTATGAATCGCATTGCCGTTGTTTTTGTTCTTGTTGTTCTTGTTGTTGTAGTGTTTGGGGGTGTGTCCAAATTGCACCACAAAGAGTTAGGAGCTGCGAGCTCCAACTGCGCTCTGCTGCAGCCAATTCCCTTTCGACTGGGCGTTACCAAGCGTGCCCCCCCCTCGAAACGGGCGTATGTGTAATCTTTACCCGGATGGGAGATGGCCAAGATTTCTTTAGCTGCAGCTGAGTTGGGATTTTTTTTTCACACATTAACCAAGCGTCGACACACATAATTTCATGTTGTCCGGTAATTGTTCTGTAAATGCACAAATAATTACTTTCAATGCGCCAATAAAAAACGGGCTGAAAGAGCAGCAGACAGCGGCTGTGGCAGCAGTCGGAGCAGATCTGCGTCAATCGGCGCATTTGTGCACGCAGCAGGAGCTGAACCCAACTAAGTCGGAGCTGAGCTGCAGCTCGCAAGATTTGATCAATCAAGCGCTTGGCCATGGCAATCAGCGGCTTGAAAACTGAAAGCGCAGCTCCGAGAAAAGTAGGTGACCAGCAGCAGCAGCAGCAGCAGCAGCAGCAGCAGCAGCAAACGCAGCAGCAGACGATGCCAATGAGAGCGACGTCATCATCAGCATCAACATCGTCAGCAGCTTTATTGTGGCAAGTGGCAAGTTGAGCGGCTGCTGTTTGCGTCCTCGTTGCACGCCTAAACGAAATCGTCTGCCGACTTTCAACCAATGCAGCCCGTCACTCACAAAAATGTTCTATGGTCGTTGGCATCTGCATCTCTTTCTCTTTTTTGCCCGGCCATAAACAACTTTTACTGCGTAGCACGGTAGTCGCTTACTTTTCGCATTGACTGTGCCTCCGCCTCTATCTCTGCCTCTGCCTCTGCCTCTGCCCTGCCTCTGACTTTGACTTTGGCTTTAATTATAATTGCTTCTTCTCTTGGCCACTTGCAGATCGATGACGCAGCTATTCAGGTGTACAAGGATGGCGACTTTGGCGCCTATCTGGATCTGGAGTCATCGCTGGCCGAACAGACCGAGGAAATCGAGGGCCTTCAAGCCAGGTAAGTGCCACATGCCACACCAAACGCGCCCACACAGCTCCTAATGAGAGCTGCCCACACACGTGTTTAGTTTGTAATCCAGCTGCGCGGAAAACTCTCCCACACAGTTTAATTGGAAAAGCCGCAATGATTTATTAACTTAACTGTGCGAAAAATTGTTGTCAGCGATTTTCACTTTTGTGGCACGCGCTTACCTTGAACCCATTTTTGCGGGAAAGTCCGCAGGCTCCGTTGCAGGCTGGACAGCCAGCTCTGGGTTTCTGGGGCAGCTGCTCGTGGGTGGCTGCGGCTGTTAGCCTTTCACCACACACACACATACACACATACACACATACACACACACACACACACACACTACCACACAAGCACACCCAGGCGGTCGCCTGCTCCATTCGCTAATAAAGATATTGGCGTAGCGGCTGTCAGGCTCTGGCCATAAAAAATGTCGCTATCTGTGGCACAGGAAACTGCGCCGGCTGTGACTACCTGGCTGACAGACTGGCTCTGGCTACCTGGCTGCCAACTGCCTGCCAGTTGCTACTCACTGGGCCAGACGTCAGGCATTTGCATGCCTCCGCTGCATCGTTGTCGTTTGTCGTTTCGTACGTGCAACTTGTTGCGATTTTTTGGCTGCAACTTGCGCCTCATTTGCATTTGCAGCAGCACAAAGACTTGCAATATAAACGTAGGCAATGGCATTTTGGCATCGTTATACATTTTTTTTATTTTCGAACAACTCATAACTGAGATCGGGCCTGATTCTTGGTCTAGCAGTCACTTTGGTATGCGCCGCATGATCTCTTTGGCCGTCAAGAGGCGGCTGGTGGCAGCCAAGTGGGCAGGAGACACACTCTTAACTGATTATAAGCCATTCACAACATACAAGCTTGGTTTATTATGTCATATACAAGCATTAGAATGAGTGCAAATGCCTGAGAGTGAATTGAAAAATGGAAGTGTTCGCGAACTGAGTGAGGAAAAGAACCAGAGTTCGTGTAAGATTAATGAAAACGGGAAATACAAGAATATAACGGAAATTAGATAGTTTTCATTTAATGTAAGAGTGCTGGGAAAAGTGTGGATTACACTATTGATTATTATTATTCATTATTCATAATCAAACGAGTAACTGTCAAAGTTATCGATTGCGAAGACTAACGGAAAGTAACATCCGCTAAATTGTTAAGAATATAACAGAAATCATAGTCTCCATTAAAAAGATGCTTATAAGTGTACTGGGAAATTATCGATTATAGTACTGAAATCATTAATCATAATCAATCGATCAACTATCGAAGCTATCGATTGCTATAATTCATAATCAATCGATCAAATGTCAGAGTAATCGATTGCGAAGACTAACGGAAAGTCACATCCGCTAAATTGTTCAGAATATAACAGGAATGGTAGTCTTCATTAAATATAATATATGTATTACTGGGAAATTATCGATTAAAAGTCTGAAATCAATCACAACCAGTCGATAAACTATCGAAGTTATCGATTGACAAAACGATTAAAAAATCACGTCCGTTAAATTGTCTAGAATAACATGTTAATTGGTTAGCTTTCATGCAAAATATGTTACTCGATTATGATCGATTACACTGCTTAAATAACAAATCGATTAGTTATCGATTGTGAAAACTATCTATAATTTACTTTATAAAAAAGGTTAACAAATACTCAAGATTTAGGCAGTTTTTTAAGTATATATTTATTTCTAACAAACTTATCGATGGCCACAATGATCGATAGCTTTGCCGCAGCTAGATTCGTATATGCCTTGACTAGTTTGCAGAGCACATTTTGGTTTCTTATCGTTTGGCCAAGGAACGTGATGTCAGGCACAAGATCGCATCCGAAGTAACTGACGTACGCGTCAGGCCAAGGGCCAAGCTCAGTAGCTGGATGCTTGCTCCTCAGCCGTGATGCCAAGTCAGGCAGTGCTCAAATAATGGGATTAATAGAACTTGTCAGGGGGTTAGGCGGGGCGGGGGGTAGCTACTATGTGGTGTGTCGTGTCTATTTCTGACTTTCACTAGCTGCACTCAGCTGCGGCAGCTGATGCGATCCTCGGACCATTATAAAATTATAATGCATATGTCGCCGCGTCTGTGCAAATTGTTGCCAGTTGGCAGTTAGGCGTTGTGCACTCCAGTTACTGGCGCCAATGAGTGTTCTAGGCGGGCTGGGTCTGCTCTCGGGTCTGGTCTGGTCTGGCTGGGTCCGGTCACTAATCATGCTTATCGTATTAGTCATGGAAGCGCGCTCGCATGCAAATCATTTGCTTCAGTACGCATCAAAATTCCACAAGGCAGGCACGGGGCCCGAATGGGTCGATGGCTCGATGGCTCGTTGGCTCGTTGGCTCGTTGGGTTGTCAATCTGCAACTGAGCCACAGACACATTTGAGCAGCAGTCAACACACACAAATACACACACAGGTGTGGCCCGGCCCGTGTGCACTTTGAGTCGAATTGGGAGTTGAGTTGAGCACAGCTGAGACCACATTTCATTATGAATTCTTGGCTCGACTTATTGGCGGCTACGTTCGCTCAGATGCTTCATAGTCCATTTTCAATTATCTTCGTCGTTTGTTATTACTTTTATTATGGCCAACAACTGGGCAGCAAACAGCGGGTAATCAATGTTCTTAACTGGTCAATGAACCACACGCTAACCCATTGTGCCTTCGTTTTTTTTTTTTACTCTTAGTTTTAGCCTTTGTTTTGCTGCCATTGCTAATGAAATTACATACAAAATTAATATAAATTTTACATCTCTCCCTCTCACTCTATCTGCCTCTTCTTCGGCCCAGTCGCAAAAACTCTCTGGTCGTTCGCACTCAGCTGAGCGTACGCGTTCATGCCATAATAGGTAAGTGCCGGAGTCGAAAGACTAAGTTAAGCGACGTTGCGCATACGCCTCATTGAACCCGTTGTCTTTGACTTGCAGAGAAACTACTCTCATCGGAGGGCAGCGATCTGCGCCGCGCGCTCTTCTCCCTCAAGCAGGTGTTCCAGGAGGATAAGGATCTGGTGCACGCATTCGTCGCACTGGGCGGTCTCAATTGCCTGGTGCGCGTGGGCAATTGCGCCGACCAGAACTATCAGAACTATATACTGCGTGCTCTCGGCCAGGTAAACTTACACTGCATACACTGATCACAAGTCACAGCTAATCATGTCTTTGCCTTGCAACAGGTCATGCTCTATGTGGATGGCATGAATGGCGTCATGAAGCACCAGCCCACCATGGAGTGGCTGTACTCATTGATCGCCTCCAATTACCGATCAGTGGTCAAGACGGCGCTCAAGCTGCTGCTCGTGTTCGTGGAATATGCCGAGTCCAATTGCTATGTGCTGGTGAGCGCCATTCATGCGGTCGACGCAGCCCAAGGCACATTGCCCTGGGCTAATATTATGAGGTAAGAGCGAGCACCGATCGTTGCCTGGCTTCAATTGATCACTCTCGAACATCTTGTGTTGTAGACTGCTTAAGGACTACGACAATGCAGATGCGGAGCTGGTGATCTATGCAACTTCGCTGATCAATAAAACGCTGGCGGGTCTCACGGATCAGGATAGCTTCTACGATGAAAGCGATCTGCTGGAGCAGCAGGGCATGGAAACGGTTATACAGCGCTACATGTCCAAGCCGGGCACAGATCTCGATCTGCTCGATCAGCTGCAGCTGTACGAGGCGGTCTTGAAGTAAGCACATGCTCAGACATTCCAAACGACATAGAACTAACTCAATTGTCTTTGCAGATTCGAGGATGGCGAGTCGGATGGCCAGCGTTTGCCGCAGAACTCATTGCGCAAGACGCAACGCCATCGGCCCGGCTCGAGCACCACGGAGCGTCGCAAGTCGCGGCGCCACAGCACGGACAACAGTCCGTCGCCCTTGACCAAGGTGCTGCCCACCGCGGTGCTGCGTATGACGCCCACGCAGGCCACGCTCGACGAGGATGACAGCTCCGGCTCCACCAACTCCACAGAGTTCGGCAGCGGCATATTCCAGGATAAGAAGCGTAAGCAAACAGGTTTTATGCCTTGCCAAGAAATGCAATTAATTCGCCTTCAAATGCAGCACGGGATAGCGCAGGCGTAACGCCTGGACTGAGGCGCCGCCGTGAGCGCGCCGAGCGGCACAAGAGCTTCCTCAGGGAGCAGGAGGAGGCGGCGGCCAATGGCATCTTTGCGGCCCGTGAGCTGCGCGAAAGCTATGGTAAGTTCTTGTGCCTCGATTGGAATTTGCTTGCCGCCGGCTGCTTTCGACAAACGAAACTAACTTTGATTCTCTCTCCATGCTAATGTGTGTGCGTGTGTGTGTGTGTGCGTGTTGTCTCATTGTCACCCGCTGCTCATGCTAACCCAATATGTCACCCACTATTGTCATACGCCAAGGCCAAATCGTAACCGCCATTCCTGCAACCATACAAAGCGGCGACAGCCCGCCGCAGTCATTGCAATCTGAGCTGCCGCAGCTGCAGCCGCAGCCGCAGCCTCTGCCTGCGCCCACGTCCACGCCCACGCCCTACAACATCATCAGCAACAATATGCAGAACAACAATAGCAACAACAATAGCCATCACACCCACAACAACCAGATTGAGACGCCCAACAACAGCCTGCTGCTGAGCCCCACCAAGCAGCTGTTGAGCGGCAGCCAGAGCATCTCGATCATCAACAACAGCTTCGACAAGGCCAATAACAATACGAACAATCAGAATGAGTTCCTTACCAAAAAGAATTTGTTTCGGGAGCGCAACGCAACTGTGATCAATGGCATCATGAAGAACATACAGCAGACGGACAGTGCCTACAAAAAGTATGAGAACGATGCCAATCGCCTGAACAACTACTACACACAGCTCAGCCAATCGCCCAAGCATCAGCTGCCCACAGCACAGGATGTGCTCAGTCCCAAAAAGACGCTGAATGCCTTTGAATTTGCGCCCGCCAGCTCGACGCCGCTGAAGGCAGATGCGCTGCCCGCACCCGAACCGCTGAGTCCCATACACAAGCCGGCGGTTGTGGCGCCGCCGCCACCGCCTCCACCACCACCGCCGCCGCCGCCACCACCGCCAGGCTGGTGGCATTTTCCCATACAGCCAAATGCAGCTAGAACCCTAACCAGTACTAACCCAGAGCCACAGCCTCAAGCAGCAATGGAGGCCACAGGTAGGTGCAGCTTTTCAAAAATATGTTGCCTACTTTTAAGCGCGCCACATGAACAATTCATTGCCTACTTTCAAGCGCAGCCTCAAACTAAACATCAAATTTGCTGCCCATGCATATTTCTCTGCGCCATCCAAAATAACCTTTTCCCCAAATCTAAAGGAGTTTTTCTCTTCTTGATCGCACAGATCTGGAGGACAAGGAAATGCTAATGCAGCTGAAACGCGATCATACGGTCAAAGATCTGACACAGAAACTATGCAATCTGCCAACAAGTCCCACACAGGAGGTGCCAGGCAATCGGGCCATAGTCGGTGACATGTCTGGCCTCATATCGAAAGCCAAAGAGGGGCTTGCCAAGAGCAAGAGCAAAGGTGAAATTTCACGGTAAGTGCCTGCTTCTATCTAGTGCTATGCTTATATCTTATCAGTCATACTCTATCAAAAGTTGCCTTATCTTTTGGTTTAAAGTTGTTCCAAAAGGCTTTTCGACCGTGATACTTTCTTGCCAACACTTGGCACTTATATCTTGTAGAAGTCTGTAAAAGTCTTGTAGTCATGCCCAAAAGATCATCATCTTTTTCTTTTTTTTTTGCATAATATCTGGCATTTATTTGTTAAGTCAATTGGTTTACATCGTGCGTGATTTAAGCGTATTTGGGCGCATATTTCTCATAGGTGGCAATGTAGGCAGCCTTGGCGGCATCCTTGGACAGACCCTTGTGCTTATTCCATGCGCTCCACTTGGCCTTGCCCTTCAGATCCAGTGCACCAGGCTCGGCGGTGGTGTTGTCGCCAACGGTGGCCTGTTTGTAGAGACCGTAGAATTCCAGGAACTCATCGTTCGTGGGCGTCTTGCTGAAGTTCTTGGCTTTCTCGGCGGCGGTGTTGAACTGCACAAATTCAATTAGTTCAAAAGTTTCTAACAAGCGGGTTGCATAACCAATTTGCAATGTACTTACATCCATTATGTCTTATGCTTCGGTTGCTAATGAGTGCTAATTGTGCCAAGGGGCGGGCTTTTTATACTAGAACCCGGCAGCCGATAGCGATTTATGACATTCGACCCCCTTATATTTTAGATATCGATACCAACGGGTGTGTGTGTGTGTGTGTGTGTGTGTGTGTGATAAGCCCTACTAAATGTCGGCTATATAAAACACAAAACACAAAACTTTAATTGCCAATATTAAACGAATAAAGGTCTCGCATTTAGTTAATCAATTTTTTCGGGTGCTGACTAAGCAACGGCTTTTTTAGTTGGGCCACTTTTATTTTTATTACAGGGTATTAGCAACTCAACTTAAGTGTAGATGGGCGCGTATTTCTCATAGAGAGCAATATAGGCTGCCTTAGCCGCATCCGTGGACATGCCCTTGCGGCTCAGCCAGGCATCGTATTTGGCGGCGCCCTCCGCATCGGCGGGCCTCTCGATATTCACATCGCCGGCATGCACCTGCTTGTAGAGGCCATAGAATTCCAGATAGACATCGTTTGGCGGCTTGCTGCTGAAGGCCTTGGACTTTTCGCAAATTGCATCGAACTGCAAGGCAATAAAATTGAATTTGTGATTAGGAATATTATCTATTTGAAGAGCTTTGCGCTTTGCTTACATCCATGTTGCTTGGGATTTGGGCAAAGACTATGATTTGTAGCGCTCAAATCGCCTCTTTTTATAGGCGACACGCGCAATATAAGTAAATCTTATCGTTTCTAAACGCAGTCATAAAATAAATGCTCGTAAATTGGCGGCCTTTAGAAATTTATGAGTCGCATTTTATGCAACTTTTTCGCAATAGTTAGTAATTTTATTATTTAATTTTAAGGGCGGGAAGGCGGGTAGCTATGCGAAACACCTAATCAATTATAGACTCATATCCGAGGGATCTTCCAATCTAGAAAATCGCCTTTTTATTTATTTTTTTTTTTTGCTATTGTTTGGGTCGGTTATCTTGCTACTAGGCGAAATTTTGATAAGCTTTATGGGCCAGTTGCAATCGTGTTATCATAAAATCGAAAAGTCCAGCTCGCTTGACCAAATGGGAAATGTGCAATAATGCTGATACTTTGTACTATCTATATCTATACCTGTCTATCGTACAGCTCATCGAGCGTTGATCAGGAACTGAAAAAGGCTGAGCCGAAGAAATCGGAGAACGAGCTGCACTGGGAGGAGCTGGTGCGGAATATGACACGACCATTGAATCTGTGTGATCTAGACTTCACTGATCTGCATTCGGATGATGAGAAGGATGTGCTGGCGCCGCGTGGTCTCGGCGCTGGCATACCCCCGCCACCCCCTCCCCAGGCTGGTGGCATGGTCATGCCGCCGCCCATGATGCCGCCCAGCCTGGCGCCGCCGCCCATGTTCAGCTACGGGGGCTACGGTCCGGGCAGCCTTACCAACAGCGTGAACAGCTCACTGAACGGCTCCATCAACGGGGAGCTGGCCAATGGCAACAACACCATCAAAAAGAACAAGAAGACGGTGAGTACAGCACAATCCGGCAATTGCACTGAGAAACTAACAGATTACCCCATGCTTTTTCAGGTCAAGCTCTTCTGGAAGGAAGTGCGCGAGGACATGATACCTCAGGTGATAGGTAAGACCATTTGGGATGAGCTGCCCAATGCGAATGTGGACACACAAAAGCTCGAGCATCTCTTTGAGTCGCGGGCCAAAGACTTGATGACCAAGGTGCGTATTGTATAATGTTTTCACATTAGGGGTATTCCCGGCAAGTGTGTATTGGCGCGAGGGTTGCTCGAAATTCAATTGATTAAGTCTATCTAAATTTCTTTTTTAGTAGTTTTTATCTTAGTATAAATGTTGCATAACAAAATTTTTTGCGAATGATATTTGTATTCTTTTCCCATTTATTTCTGGACATGTTCTAAAATAATTTTCTATATGTCAACGGTCTGTTTGCGGATATATCTACAAATATTTACATATATGTTGTGCTAAAAAAAAAAACCAAACAAAATATATATGAAATTACCTCAAAAATTATAATCAAATTAAAATGTTTCCAAATGTTTTAGGAGGTGAGTGCCATGTTATGTTATATACACTTTTACTCGCTCTCTCTGTATGTTCTCTCTCTCTCGCTCTGTCTATCTCTCTCTCTCTCTCTCACTCTCACTCGGTTTTTATAAGTTCTCTCTTTGTTTTGCATTCGGTGTCGGTTTACAACACTCTTTTATGTTGCACACACACACACAAACAACGCCGGAACTGAATACGGAACCGGAACCGGAAACACACATCCATTTCTTTCGTTTGTTTATGTTTTGTTACTACCGTTAGATACATTGTGTATACGCCCCCCTATTCCCACCACATGAACATGTCTCTCTCTCTCACGCTCTCTCCCTCTTTTGCTGTGGCTAACTCTCTCTGTCTCGCACTTGCAGAAGCAACAGGAGCTGAACAAGAGCAAAGAGATCATCGTGCTGGACCACAAGCGCTCCAATGCCATCAACATTGCGATCACCAAGCTGCCGCCACCGCGCGCCATTAAGGCGGCCATTCTGAAGATGGACGCAACTGTGGTGACCAGGGAGGGCATTGACAAGCTGCTGAACATGCTGCCCACGGATGAAGAGCGCGGCAAGATACAGGAGGCACAGCTATCCAATCCGGAGCTGCCGCTAGGCAGCGCCGAGCAGTTCCTGCTGACCCTGGCCTCCATCACGGAGCTGGGCGCACGCCTCAAGCTGTGGGCCTTCCGTCTGGACTTTGATAATTGCGAGGTAAGCTCCACAAGCCTCAAGCTGTTGTTGCTCTTCTTTTTATGCCATCCTTTTGCTTGTTGCAGAGAGAGATTGCCGAGCCGCTGATGGATCTGAAGCAAGGCATTGAGATTCTGCGTCAGAATCGCACCTTTCGTAGCATACTCTCCACGCTGCTGTCGGTGGGCATCTTTCTGAATGGGGCGCCCGTCAAGGGCTTCCAGATCGAGTATCTGGCCAAGGTGCCCGAGGTGAAGGACACGGTGCACAAGCACTCGCTGCTGCATCATCTCTGCCACATGGTCATGGAGTCCAGCAGCGATACAAGCGATTTGTATTCGGAAATTGGACCCATTACGCGCGCCTCCAAGGCGGACTTCGCCGACCTGGCCCACAATCTGACCCAGCTGGAGTCGGAGTGCAAGGCCTCCTGGGATCGCCTCAAGCTGATTGCCAAGCACGACTGTGCGCCGCCGCTGAAGCAGAAGCTCGTCGACTTTCTGGCCGATTGTGCGGAGCGCATAATCAGCCTGCAGATTGTGCATCGACGCGTGATGAATCGCTATCGCAAGTTCCTGCTGTGGCTGGGCATGCCGCAGCACAGTGTGTCCGAGTCGCGGCCCAACGAATTCTGTCGCACGCTCTCCGAGTTCGCGCTCGAGTATCGCACGACGCGGGAGCGCGTCCAGCAGCAGCTGGAGAAGAAGGCCAATCATCGCGAGCGCAACAAGACGCGCGGCAAGCTGATCATCGACATGGCCAAGTTCAAGACCAAAGAGGATGTCGCCGATTCCGAGCTGAAGTAAGTGTGCGCCAAATACATGATACTTACATCGATTAACACCTTTGCTTAACTTTTTACAGGCAATTGCTGGCCACGCCCAGCGCGGATCAGGCCGACGGCACACTCACCTGGCGACGCCGGCGCGCCGAGCAGCTGCGCTCGCCCATCGCCAGGCAGAGCGAGGAGCAGTTCACCGATGGCGATGATGAAATACTCGAATCTCTCGTCAAGACGGCCACCAAGGCCTCCGGCAACCGCACCACGCCACGGGAGCGCAAGCGTACACGTCATGCGGATCGCAAGTCCTGTAAGTTGTTTGCCACGCCCACTCGAAACGCCTTGTTGCTAGCTGCCCGTGTTAGCCAAACTCAATTTTAATCCAGCTGTTGGTTTATCTTTTGGAATACACACACGCACACACACGCGCACCATTGGCTGGCCACACAGACACACAGGCACCACACCCACCCGCCCACACACACACACACACCTGAGCTCATTCGAAATGAAGTGAATTAAATGCCACAACAAATTCCAAAAATGACACCTGAAAGAAAAACTATGCGCTGATTGACAGAATTATTACCCCTTACTCAAATTGTATAAACCCCAGCCCCTCCCCCTGCCCAATGCTTTGGCACTTTTCGGTTCTGCTAGCTTACAAATCGGTAGCCAATATTGGTTTTTAATTTTGTGTTTTCTTACCATTAACGCACCCAACAAATACCAATCAACCAATCAATCAACAAATCAATCGACCAATCAATCGAATCAATCAATACCGAAGTGAAGCGCAGCCGCACGCGCGAGGGATTCACAGTTGAAAGAGCACCATCGCCATAGAACCGTTGCGCAGCTGTTGCGCAACTGTTACCGAATAGAACAGTCAAACTGTTCCGTTTTAGGTTTTTACCCCTTTATTTTGGTTAGTGTTGAATTGTATTGCATTTATACAATGCAAATTTTTGATTTTTGTTCAAGTTTTTTTGTTCGATTTTCGCATTTTGTCCAGAGATCCATTTGCTGGCATCTGAAAACCCGTTTAAATTCTAATTGATACCAAATTCGTAACTAAATGTTTGCAAATGGAGCTCACGCCTGTCTCGCATCCCATTTGAATTGTTAAAATACAGAGCATGCCTTTAATTTAAAATAAGAAAATATTATACACAAAAAAAAACACGCCACTAAAACCGCATGGGACTCACCTTTCGACTTAATCTATGTATAAAATGTTGAGAGTTTAATTGCGAGTAAAAAATGTTGATAACTATTTTGATTTGTGTTTTGCAGTGCGTCGAACGCTGAAGAACGGTCTCACCGATGAGGAGAAACAGCACGTGTCTGCCCTAATACAAACCTATTAGAGCTAAGAAAATACCCCCGGTGAAACCCTAATCCCATCCCAGAAACCCGAGCAAACCTCGCCAGTGACGTCACAAGTCCGGGCAATGCGCGCACAGACTGAAATTGGCGATCTCATGTGCAGCAGCAGATGCAGCAGAGCAATAGGTACACCGAACTAGTAGTTCCGGTCTCCGGTTCCGGAACTGGAACTGGAACTGGTGTACCGCAACTCCCATAAATCTGAAACGACACAGTCCTACAAAAGTTCTCTTAATTCATTTCTGTTATTCGATATTTGTTTTGACTTCGTCTAAGTATTAAAATTAAACATATTTTTTATTTTGTAACAACAACTGTATTAATAGCCAAAACAAATTCATATATATGTATATATATGCATATATATTCTAGAATTTCAAACGTTATCCCAAGATTTTAATTTGTACCGATCTGCGACGATATTAACTTAATACTTAATTATAGCTTAGCCTTAGATTAACTACGATAATAAATAAAATACATACACACATATTTATTAAATCAACGGAGATTCGATTTGGAGCCTGCTTTAATATCCATTCGTGCAGGGCTGCTGCACATAGTCCAGGCAGAAGCCACGATTGTCTATGTCATTGGGCGCCTCCACGCCGTCGGTGTGAAAATACAGGCGAAACGGACGTACGCTGGCTGCAAAGAGGATTCAGATCAAGCAGGCTACAATTGGATCGGAACATTTGGACTTACACTGCACGGTCTTGGCCAGCATGCCCGCCTCGGCGCTGAAGGTGCCGCCGCAGACGCGATCCTCGCAGCCGGGCAGCGGGGGTATGCGATCCGCGGACCGTATGCAGCCAATCAGTAGCCAGTCGCTGATGCAGCCATTGCCATTGGGCGCTGCCCCACCACCCGCACCACCGCCGCCGCCACCCACCATGGTGGGCACCGGATTGTTGGAGTTGCCGGATATGGTGAAGGCACGCGAACGATTGTTCTCCAGATCCGGGCAGGCATTGTACTGAATGCCGCAGAAGTTGCGCTCGCTTCGTATGCAAATGCTGTAGTCCTGATTCGAGAGCTGACGCCCGCCCACCGTGTTGTAGTTAAAGCTCCGGATACGCCCACTGATCGCCGTGTAATACTGCAGGCAGCCCTGATCCGCACGGCTAATGCTGCCGCAGTGAATTTGGGTGACGCGCACGCGCCACAGGCGCGGAAAACTAGCGCTGGTTATCACGGATAGCACAATGGGATTGCTTTGACCCAGACCCGCATCGATGTACACTGCAAAATGGACACAATTTGGTAACTAGTTCTCAGCTTCCGCTGAGGCAGATCTCACTGTGATCGCCCGTGGAGCTGCCGCATATGGTGGGCGTGGGACTGCCGCCCGAGATCAGCAGCTGATCCTGATTGCACAAATGATTGGCTGCCTCGGGTGGCGCTATCGAAAACATGTCCAGGTCCAAGCGCAGCTGGCAAATATCTGGATGCAGCTTCTGCACGGTCACCTGACAGCTGCCGGTGCCATCATAGACATCCGGATGATTCGGATTCACAAAATACGTGGAGTTTTCGCGTATAATGCCGCCGCAGGTTTGTAGAACTGCCAAATATATTGTAGCTTAGATATGGAGCTTCTCAAAAGACTTCCGCTTACATATGCAACAGATGCCGTAGCCACTGCCACAGGGTCCGGCCGGAATGCCATTGCGCAGCAGGCAATCCTTGTTGGCAATGCAGTTGCCCTGCTCGCCGGAGGGCGCGGCACAGCTGCTCGGTCCGATCGGCACCAGGGCAAAGATGGGTAAAACTGCGAAAGGTGAAATCAGCTGTGGTCAAGACAAACACCATATCCACCACACCCACACTTGGATTCGCGCTGACGCGGCGTCGGCGTCAGCCACTTGCTGCCAAAGATCAAATCCCGCCAGCTGTTGGTATGTGTATTAACTGGCACCTTGCTGCCGACCAGGACGAAAACACAACAGATCACGTATACGCTGCTTAGCTGCAGCTGAAAATTGATCATTTTCTCCTAGAAATACCCGTTTCCAAAGCCGAAGCTGGAGCTGGAGCTAGAGCTGTTGCTGGGAGCTGTAGATGCGCACGCGTTGCGCCCTGGCGCTGTTATGGCACGCAGCCGCCCAGAGGCGACAATTTATTCGACTTGGCGTGGAAATAGGTTTAATGACCGCAATTTGTGGGCGCTTTGCACTTTTTAGTTTAACGACAAAAAAAACAGAGTGCTCTAGTCGGGTGTGCTCGACTGTGAGATACCCTCAATCCCAGCGCCATTACAAACATTCCAAGTATTTCAGATTCCATACGCACAAGCACGTGAACTCACGCCCCAAGCTAAGCAAGTTTGTGCTTCTTCTTGCCTTTGCCCCATACTTTGTTTGGGAATTAATTTTTGATTATCCTGGTTGTTTAAAAACATAATTTGTGATATTTTCAGAACTAAAAAATGGCATAAAAAAGTGTTTATATATCAAAGCGCAAAGCTTTACCTTTTAAAATAAGCTTTTTACAATTTAAGATGAAATGGGACATGGCTTCAAAAAAGTGAAACATTTTTGTTGTGTATATGCTATAAACCAAGTTTGGTGTATCAAGCTCTTCTAGTTTTCGAGATATGCTTAAAAGAAAAGTTCTCAAAATCGATAAATATCGCTATTACGGAGGAGTCAGAGATATGAACTGCGACTGCCATATAGGTATAAACATTACAAATGTTCATTCTCTAACTCTTATAGTTCTCGAGATCGAATGTTCCGATCAGGAATATGCTAAGACATCATACCCGTTCTATTCATATACAGTGGGTATATGGTATAAAAGCCTGTAAATTGAGCTGAATATTAATTGCTTTGACAAAACTCTGGCTGCTAAAAAACAATTAGTTGCGCCACAATCAACAGCAATGGTAGCGCAGCAGCAACAACAACAACAACAACAACAACAACAATAACATAGGTGGCTCAAATCCAAATGCAGTCAATGGCATTGCTGGTGGTGCGGAGGTGTCTGCGGATATATCCCTACATAATACGTGTATTTCACGTTTCGTCAACGTTTTTTGTTGTGCTTCCTGTTGCGAATTTGTTTTTTCCACACCCTCGCCTTCGATTATAAGTATGTTGGGCAAGGCCTGACGAAAATTCGAGCGTGAAAGTGGCTGACAATTTGGTTGCGACATAAAAGAAAATCCATAGTAATAGAATAATAATAATAAAAGTTATGTCACATGTGGTGTGAAAAGCCGCTGTGAAAATCGAAAACCTGAACGTCATTCGCCTCTAGTCTGACTAATTTGATTAAATCTGAACGGCAATTGGGTCAATGTTAGCTCTTGTTTTGCCTAATTTAATTTATTCATTTTGTAACCTAAGCGAGTGCATTTTGTTAGCCACTCGCTTTTGGCTCTGGTTAAGTTTGTTTTTGGACCTTGTCGAATATGACGTCCTAAAATAAAAAAAAAACTGCGACAAGCGCGATAAGAGCTTTTTATTTATAACGATTTTATTAACGGTATTCAGCAAATTCTCATTTCAGGGTCGCAGCTTTTCGCTGGAATCGTATGGCAGGCGGGAAATGGTATATTTATTTGCATTCGGATTTTTTTTTATGAAGTTCTCACCCTCCACATATATATAAAACATAAGCAACAATATTTAAGATCAGCTTATGAGAAGATTCCCTGGAATAGTAAGAGTACAAACAGATATGCGTACGTATACCCAGGGCTGTAAACCCGAAATGAAATATTGGTGAGTCGGTGCACAACTCCCTCACATCCTTAAAACCAGGTTTTAACGAATACATTTTAACAACAATTTAATTTTGAATCTACAACTGCCCGTTGTACCGAAAATATTGCCAGCCGTAGATATTTTCTTATACAAAATGCGAGCTAAATTTGATCTTTACCCAAAATTTGGCATTTACGAAATATGTTTAGATATATGCTAAGTTTGGGACCAAAATTATAAAAGCTTTGGGGCTAAATATGCCTCAAAAGCTCAAAATCCATTTATATACTTTATATGGGCATAGTCGAGATGTCTAAACCTTCAACTGAGCTCTAAGAATAGATTATACTCAGAAGAAACAATTTTAAAATTTAAATTTCTAAAATTTAAGCCTAAAAGTGTACAGAAAAATTTCGACTCGGCTGTTTATGAGACACATCATTTGGGTTAGGCTTTGGTTCATAGTAAACAAAAAAGTAGAGTTCCGATTACGAACTAGTTCGGCTTTAAATCAGTTTTCAGTCCATTTAATCAAGTTCATAGGCCCTTTATATATGGAAAATCTAATACAAAGTTAAGTATTTTCGCAATATTTAATAGATATATTCTGCATATATATTCCAAACAAGAATAATCTGAGTTATCTGATTCTGTCTTTTCTTTCTGTACCGCATCATGTCTAATTTATGCGTACAGGGTATACAAGAAGTGTTATTTAGACACGCTGCTTAGATACTGCTTATTATTAATGTTATTTTGATAATTGTTGCTACTCCACATGAGGTTTAATGAGCAAAGGTTGAATTTTACGTCTGATTCACATAACATATACGTGCTTATTGCCGATAAGAGACTTTTCATTTATTATGTATATTAGGGAATGCAAAATACACTCAATGAACACTATATGATCATTTTATATATTCATTAACTTCTTATATTTTTTATTATAATTTTATTAAGTAATCGATCATTGGTTAAATAAAGTATGAAAAAATTCTTTAAAAACAGCTGAAAATAATTACTTTTATAATTATGCAAGCATTTTGTACGAAGGCATATAAGTATTATATATATGTGTATGCGTGTGTGTGTGTGTATGTATGTTTGTATGTGTATGTGTGTGTGTATGTATGTGTGTGTGTGTAAGTGGACGTGTGTATGCATGCATGTTAGTTTCCTAATACGAAACGCAGTCCAAGCTTATTTGTCGCTGTCCTGCAAATTTAAATAAAACGAATTTCTATCAAGTGCTCTCCTCCTCGATTCTCAAGAATTCAAGTTGGCCCTGCTGAAATTCAACAAGGCAGAAAACGTTGCCTGTGGAGGAGCAACTTGTGGCGGTGGATCAGAAGGAGGTGGAGCGGGTAAATACATATGTATGTAGATGTATGTATGTAGATATATGTATGTATGTAGATGTATGTATGTAGATGTATGTATGTAGATGTATGTATGTATGTAGATTTATGTATGTATGTATGTAGATTTATGTATGTATGTAGATTTATGTATGTATGTATGTATGTATGTATGTATGTATGTATGTATGTATGTATGTATGTATGTATGTATGTATGTATGTATGTATGTATGTATGTGTGTATGTATGTATGTATTTTTTTTTTTTTTTTTTTTTTTTAAACAATAAAGATTCAACCGAAACCCCGTCTTAACGTGTACCTTCATCGCATTAGATAACTGCAGTGAAAATTTCCGCTTCCTAGCTCTTACGGTATGGGCTGTGCGTTGATCACCAATCAGTCAGTCAATCAGTCAGTCAGTGAGTCAGTCAGTCTGTCAGGACAAAAAGAGATTATATTTATGTTTAATAATCGATCACTTGTTAATTGAAAATGAGAACCATTTACTCAAAAACAATTGCAAACAATTACTTATATTAACTTTAATTTTTATTTAACATTCGATTTCTTGATAAATTAAATATGCAATAAAATGCCTTTAAAATAATGGAATTTCATTAAGTTTTTATTCAATAATGGACCATTTTTTAAATTGAAAAAGCACTAAATTTACAAGTACTTATATCATTTTATTTAATGTCCGTCAATTTTTTAACTAAATTTGCACTTAGTTCTCTTAAAAACAATTCTTAATAAATGCTTAGTTATTTGCTAAAAATTCCCCTAAAAACAGTTAATAAAGAGGTACCCATTTCATTTTATTTAATTTTTATTCAATAAATGTAAACGAGTACTAATATAATTTTATTTTATTTATTGTTATACTTCAATTTAAATTTAAGAACTTTAAACAGTTGGTAAGATTTCGTGACTAGTTTAAGGTGCGAGTTTATCGCACTCGTACTTTCCGTTGGGCAGGCCGCAGCTTTTCACACAGTATTCGCCGGAATCGATGGAGCAGAAGGTGTTATCCGGGCAGGTGTTGATAATGGGACTTAAATCGCTGCCATCGCACAGTTGGAAGGTGGTGCGACTGGTGCAGACAAACATTTGGCTGCCATCGCAGGTTCTGCAGTTAACAGTGTTTGGGTCGCAAACGGGCTCAACACCATCTCCATCAATCGGTAGCCAGCATGGATCCAGTAGATTGGTGCAGATCTTGCCATTGCCACAGCTGAGTAAGCCGCCATTCTCAATGGGCGAGTTGTTGATGCAGACCTTGTAGTGGGTGGAGTTCATGCAGGCCACCTTGTTCTCCATGCAACCGCCGCAAACCGCGCCACTAGCTGCCACCAGCAGGGAGCTGAGCGCCAAGAGGAGCATCTAAAGGAAGTTGAAGCGGTTAAAGAAGGCATCTTCTGCTAGCCACTGTCTAGCTGGCTTACCAGATTTTTCAGGCAGTGCGACTGCTGCATTTCGAATATTTGTTATGCTTGACGGAAGAACGTCGGACTGACTAATGAGACCTTTCAACATATGCCGCACATTTATATCATCCATCCGGAGCTTGGAGCACTCTTTGGAAAAAAAAAAAAAACAAAAAACAGCCTGAGATAATCGCCTTGTTTTATGCTGGGCTTAGGATTGTGCTAACAAAAATGTTTACAGCTGATAGCCGAATACAGATACGCAGCACAGTAGCTACCATATTTATGGATGCGCTAGCATTGAGAGATAAAAAAAGGCTGTCGGATGGTTTTCAGTCATAAAGATAATGCGCGGAGCGGTCCACAGCATTTATAAGGCATGAGTACGGCATCCAGCTACTTCAATTAGAAAACTGAAGATGTTGCAGCTCCTACGCATTGGGCTAATTGGTCTACTGGCCACGCTGCTGGCGCCAGCAGCGATTGTGGAGGCCACCTGCGGGCTGTGTTACGGGGCGCACACCTGCACCAGCAACACCACCTTTCAGCTGTGCTATAATGGTAAGCTTGGATGCTTGAAGCAGTTTTAAGTTGGCGCCTAAACTCAATGCCGCACCACAGGCGTTCCATATCCGGAGCATAGCTTCTCCTGTCCGGAGAATAACCCGATTTGCACGGAATATGGAGATATTTGCATGGGCACGGATAGCCTTCCCATCTGCGGGGATACTTCCAAGTGTGCACAGTGCAGCAATGGTGAAATGTACGCCTGCGCCTCTCGCACCACCTTCGGCAGATGCGATGACGGTGTACTCCTGCCCGAGCGCAGTCCTTGCCCCACGGACTGGTTCTGCAGCGTCTCTGGAGCAGCGATAGGAGATCCCTGTGTTTCAAGGTGCGAGCCGGACAGTCAAGACACGTGCGACATGGTCGAGAACGAGTCGGGCACTACGACAACACCTGATCCGGGCACTACGTCTAGCCCAACTGCCACTGCTGATCCGAGCACCACAGCTAGCTCAACCTCTGATAGCAGCAGCAGCAGCAGCAGCAGCAGCGGCACCAGCTCCGCGACAACAGCTGCACCTCCATTCGATGCGGATCAATATTGTCGCGGCATTCAGAAAGCCGGTCGCTTTGCCATACCAAATGACACAGATTGCACCAGGTAAGCTTTTGTTGAATATCAATTAAATGCACTCTTATTGATCAATAACTATTCTCCTCTTGCAGCTACATCAGTTGCTTCTATAGGGGCGGCGTCTGGCAGGCCAACATAGTCTCTTGTCCGGCAGAAAAACCTTACTTCAGTGCGATCTCCGCTTGCGGCACGGTAAGGCCAACCACTGCTGGTTGTAATTAACTTAATTGTAACCGTTATCTGTTTATATAATTGTTTACAAACGAATCTATTAAATAAAGTCTAGATTTTCCTACTAGCTATAATCATAAATTTTTGACTTTCTGCCAACAATTGTAAATTCCAGCAGAAATTTTCTATCAATAGCTAAGATATCTTTTAATGGCCAAAAAGAGCCAGGCTAAGCTTAAGGCCATCTGCTAGTCGACTATTCTAATGCCTAATGAAAAAGACAAATATCTGACTTGGAGATGAGCGCGGGCCGAGTTTTGACGAGACAGACCAAGACGAGCACGAAACAATCTTTTACAAGCACGCGCGACTTAAATAGATCAAGACACGGTCCAGCCGTGCCTAACACAGTCAAGAATTTCGAAAATTGTTTTTACTCTACAGATCGTGCTCTTCGTGCTGGTGATTAGCACGGACTCGCACGGAACACACACGAAAAACAATCTTGCAGCACGAGCCTGTCGTGGCACGGCGGAAAACACGTCCCATCTCTAAGCTGATTGCTGACACACTTAGGCAATCAGTAAGGGTCGAGTTCTAATAACTGGACAATCTTTGAGCATTTGATTAAGTGATGCATTTATAATAATTTGAAAAATTCTTTTCAGCCCGTTGTCCATAATGTCCATAATTGCCACAGCAATTGCAACTGACTTACGAGAATATTTTGGGCATTTGGTCAGCGGCCCGGTAGCTACTCAGGTGTATTATTATGATAGAGCTTTCTGCTCATTATCGCAGTGTTAGATTCTTTTTTCATTCGTGGTTTTTATGTTGCGATCATAAAACAGCGCCGGGCAATCAAGTGGAAAGCCAAAGCAAATAAAACAATTAGCATGCCCCAAAATATATATGAAGAGTAGATAAACAATGAAAATTTCACTAGGCGAGTAGAAAAAAACAAGAGCTTATAACGCCGCAGACAAGAGATTAATGTACTTTAGTACACCCGAAACCTTGACAGTGAACAGAAGTCATCATTGGGCAACATCAAGGAGCATCGAGTAGGCGTCAAATGGCTATGAAAATGTCCAATTATGTGCAAATTGTGGGCGCAATTGTGGTAAGCACAGTTTAGCAAGGATATTCGCATGATATTCAATTCAAATATCTTTTCATCCAAAGCTCGCACTAGCCTGGCTGCTGGTTGGGATCTTGGCGGATTGTAATGTTTGCCAAACGAATCAGGTGGCCTGTATTAATTCCACATCCTTCTACTTGTGTTTTGGAGGTGCGTATATTACAATTTATTATAATATTCAAGTGCAAGGTAAGTATATTAAAGCCCTGCATCGAGTCAACTGAAATGCGTTTTGAATACTCGCGCAATTATTTCGATCGAGCGAGTCGTGAGTCAAGTCTCGGCACGAGCTGTTTGAGTTGCCGACAATAAACTGCGTCAGCTGAACTAAAGCTAAAACTGATCGAGCTCGCAACTAGTTGCGGTTGTGTCCGAACTAGTGGGCTCGAACATGTTGCTGACTTGAGCAGTTCGAGCTTCGTTTACCCGAGTCGAGTTTGAGACGCCGAGTTCGATGCAAATCAATAAATACATATTTTTAATATATTCTTACAGATGGCACGCCGCATACGGATCATATTTACTCGTGCCTGGACGGCACCGTCTGCACCGACAGGGCGGCCATCTGCCTGCAGAAAAGCGCCCAGCGGCCGCCCAGCTGCGGCGACACCAGCAAATGTGGACAATGTAGCGCACAGCGCAACTATAAATTCGCCTGTCAGAGTCGGCGTCTGTTCCAAATGTGCTACGGGGCCACACAGCCGACGGGCGCGCTGGGCACCTGCCCGGCGGGCTATGTTTGCGATGCCAACACCGATGTGGTCTGTGTGGCCGAGCGGGCGGGTCAAAACTACACCTGTGACCTAAACGACGATCTGGTGAGCACCGAGGGCACCACAGTGGCAACCACAGTGGCAACCACAGTGGCAACCACAGTGGCAACCACAGTGGCAACCACAGTGGCAACCACAGTAGCAACCACAGCCACGCCCACAACGCCCAGCTCCCTGACGGCGCAACAGGTATGCGAGCTGAGGGCCAAGACGGGACTCTACGAAACTGTGCCGCGCGATCCCAACTGCAAACGGTTTGTAACAATTAAAAGATCAATTCTCAGCTCCAACTGATGCATATTCTATTCCTTGCAGCTATATTAGCTGCTACTTTGCCTCGACTGGCAAGATAATCGCCGTGGAATACGATTGCACGGCGAGCTCCTATTTCGAGGCGGAAAATGAACGCTGTTCCTACCTGTTGCCCGCTAATTGCACAGCTTGATTGATATTTGATATAATATGAACTTTAATAATAATAATGGATAGATAATTATAATACTAGATAATGCTAACTCTCACTCCAGCTCCACGCCGTTGAGGCTCAGGCGGGCCACAGCACTCGTGCAGGTGGCGGGCAGCGAAGTGACGCACGTCTTGCTGGAGCTGCTGTAGTAGGTGCTGCCCGGACAGGTGTACAGCTTGCCCAGCCAGCTGCCGTTCAGCTCAAAGCAGTAGATATACTGACGACAAGTCGTGCTGGCCGTGGTGCCCACCGGATAGTAATCCTCTGCCTGCATCTTGGCGCAATACGCATTCGGATTGCTGGTGGTGGGCGCCACTGTGGTGGTCGTGGTGGTGCTCAGCGGCGTGTAGCACGTGGCGGGCACTGTGGTGACGCACAGCCTGCTGCTGGGACTAAAGTATGTGCTGCCCGGACACGTGTATTTCTGACCACGCCAGCTGCCATTCAGGAGGAAGCACTTGATATACTGGCGGCAAGTTGTTGCCGTATAGTTGCCCACCGCATAGTTGCCCTGGGCCTGGACAGCGGCGCAGTAGGCGCTGGCATCGCTGGTCGAGGGCGTGGCTGCTGCCGTAGTTGTTGTTGCTGCCGTTGTTGTTGTTGCTGCAGTTGTTATTGTTGCTGCAGTTGTTGTTGTTGATGCAGTTGTTGCAGTTGTTGCCGTTGTTGCCGTTGTTGCCGTTGTTGCCGTTGTTGCCGTTGTTGCAGTTGTTGCAGTTGTTGCAGCTGTTGCCGTTGTTGCAGTTGCTGCTGTTGTTGTTGTTGTCGTCTCATCTGCATAAGAACAGGTGGGCACCACCTGCGTGTCCAGTCCGCATATCCGCTCATCACGACTGTTGCACACATAGCCCTCAGCACAGCTGCCCAGCGAGTTCTGCGGCGCATCGGTGCCCAGGCAGAGCGCAAAGGTGTTCGTTCCGGTGCAGGCAAAGGTCTTGGTGATGTCACACTTGTTGCAGTCCTGGCAGGCGCCGGTTCCACTGCTGCTAGGCTGGCAGCGCACGCCGGCTGCGCCGCTCACACACACATAGCCGTCGGGACAGTTGTAGGGTATGCGCGTGGGCAGGCCACTTGCATCGCAGGCCTGCGTCTGGTTGAGCGAGTAGCAGGCCATGCTGTTGACGGGATTGCACACATTGCACGTGGCCCTGGCGCTGGCCCACAGGCACATCAGCTGCAGCAGCCAACCAAAAAGTTTCATCTTCTTCGCAGACATTTCACACAATTGTATTTGCTTCTTCGACTGTTGTCTCTCTTTAAATAGTAATTTTGGGTAACTAATTTTGGCTTGACCTTGTCCAAGCAACTGTTTTTGTGCTAGCCACAATTTAGATAAGCTCGCAGACCTTGCTGGCGCTTTGCCTTATCAAAAGGGCCATAAAGAAAGCAACCTAACAAAGTCTCTGCTCACTTTCCCATACAAGATTTGCTTTTGTGTTCCAGTTAGATTAGGCCAGATTGCAGTTTTCATTACGATTAAAAAGCTGCTGCAGTGCAACGTTCAGCCAGTTGCATTTCAAGATGCGACGTCTACTCACTGCGATTCTGGCCATTGCAGTCGGCAGCCTGGGCTGCCAGGCAGAATGCAATGCCTGCGCCGCCGGCAGCGGCGTGGCCTGCATCTCGGAGCGTCAGTTTCAGTTCTGCGCAAATAACCAGACCACGGGACCCGTCAACTCCTGCCCCGCGGACAGCTACTGCTCCAGCCAGGTGCCGATTTGCCAAAAGAACGCAGCACTTGTCGCCTGTGCGGGCTGCGGCGAGTGCAACGAACTGGGCACCTTTGCCTGCACGGGCACGCGCACCTTTGCCCTGTGCCTGGGCAGCAATCGACCCTCCAATATCACGGCCAGCTGTAGCGATCAGCTGGTGTGCAACAGAAATCTGCCGGAAATATGCGGCAATGCCACTGCGACAAGTGCCACCTGCCCAGAGCAGCCGGCAACCACAGAGCAGCCAAGCACTGAGGACGACACAGACACCACCACACTGGAGAGCACCACCGTATCCACCACAGATGATTTTTGCCGTGCATCCTTCAAGGGTATTCCCATTCATGCTATTCCCAATGATACCGAGTGCACCAGGTAAGCCCGAGTTTCCTTAACTATATTCCAGCTGCTTTAATTGTTTTCTTCCCTCTCTCAGTTACATCTATTGCCGATTCTATATACAATCGTGGGTGGGTCGCATTATCGATTGCCCCTCTGATAAACCCTATTTCAATGGCTGGACCTTGTGTTGCGGCACAACGAAGTCAACGCTTCCAGGTTGTCTTGTTGCTTAATTATGTTTATTAAATATATGGTGTTAGTATTTTCTGAAGAAATATTCCTCATTAAAAATATATATTTGAATTTTTTTAACTACTCGCTAATTCCACAAATCTTACTTAAGTTGTGTGCACACGAGTATTTCAGTTTTTGTAGATAAGACCTTCAACTTGCGTTAAGATTTTACTATCTCTGTGAAATCTGCGCCAATAAAAAGCTTTTCTTTTAAAATTAGTTGTCTTTAAAGCAATACAAAAAGCTTTTATCTCCGGCAAGAATATCTTATAAAAAAAAAACAATATATACTTTTCCCTATTTATTATATGCATAAAATAATTCGCATTATATTGCAGGTGATCCACCAGGAATATAATGTCGTGGAAGTAAAAAAACTAGGGGCCCTATTACTGGAGCTTGGCAAGGAATATGAGTTGATGCCGTCGACCTGGTCTACCTACCAGGTCAGTCTAATTTAAAATAAATTAAAAAAATTCTTTTAAGTTGTTATTTTATTTTTGTATAGTAGCCTTTATTTTGTAATATGTATTATATTATATATGTATATTATTTCATTCCACAGAGAAGAGTTTAATATAAAGCTTTTTAAAATCTATTGCATACTTTTTGGCGGCAGCATTTATTGCTAGCTTTAATGGCCTTTGCCAGTGTGCCCAAAATAGTTCATTAATTTAAAATATTTAGTTAAAGCATTTCAAATATATGCATATCCTTATCAAAGCAAAGGGCTTAAGCTTTAAATTATGAGTCTATGCTGAAAGCTGCTTAATATATATTAATATACTATTTAATATGTATATTCGATTTTTCAGTGCTTTTAAAAATGCAATGTTTAAAATATATTGCTTAGTTTTAGGCAGCAGTCTTTATTGTGCCAAAATTATTTAATCCTTATCATTTTCAAAGGGCTTTCGGTTTTTTAGACAACTATTTCTTTATGGCGCTGCGCTCGAAGCGGCTTCATAAATTCAAAGAGGCTAAACAAAGATGTGTTTATTATTTAAAAGTTTTTACGATTGTGCTTACGTAACTCATATGATCAGCTATTATGCAGATAAGATTAAAGGCACATCTTAAATGCACTTGCCAGGCATTGCAACACTGCAGTTGTGCTTGAAGATGTTGGGCGTGCTGGTGCTGCTGTTGCTGGCGATCGGAGTCCAGGATTGCCGGGCCGATTGTAATATCTGCAGCGCATCCTCCAATGCGGCCTGCGTCTCGGAAACACAGTTTATGTTCTGCGAGGACAACCTACCCATCCAGCCAATCAATAGTTGTCCATCGGGAACGTATTGTACGGCGCAGGCGGCGATTTGCCAGGCCGACAGCAACATGAGGTCATGTAACAGCTGTTCAATGTGCAACTCAGGCATGACCCATGCCTGCCTGGGCGTTCGCACATTTGCTCTGTGCCTGGGTACACTCACGCCATCGTCGATCACCGGCAGCTGTGCTCCCAACTATGTCTGCAACCTGGAAAATCCCAACATTTGCAGCAGTGCAACATCCGGCTCACAGGCCACCTGCCCCCTGGTGGATGATGAACTGTCAACGACAATGTCTCCAGGCTCTTTCGTGGATCCCACCACTTACTGCAGCTATATCCAGCAGGCTGGCCGCTTTCCCTATGGCAACACGCTGGAAACAACGTGCAAAGAGTATGTATTCTAATCCGTCCGGTGGCCAATTCGATTTTAACCCAGCCCGCATTTAGGTACATCAACTGCTATTTGAGCTCTAGTTCCTGGTACGGTGCCCTCTACTACTGCCCGGGCTCAACCTATTTCCAACCCACTTCAAAGATGTGCAACACCACCATTCCTCCCACCTGCACCTCAGGCGTAAGAAACTTGCAGCTACGAAGTCTGCGACTGTCCTGAGCATGGATACCAAATGTAAATCAAAAGTAGTTTTGATTGAAAAGGGCTTTTATTTGTTGAAAAATAAAAAATGTATTGAAATAATAATTATATGTTTATTTATATACTTAAAATATGGACAGCAACAATTGGTTTTATTTTAAAAATTATGTTATCAATTTTTGGCTATAATTAAACCATTTCCTTATATTTATTATTATTAGATAATAATTAGATTATCAGCTATATAAAAAAGAAGTTATAAAAATTAATTTAATTCTTTTTATATATCTTCTTTTTTATATATGCTATTCTCCAGGGTGATTGCGTGGCTAACAAACAATTTTTTTTTCCATTTCAGGTTTCCGCGTTTTTTCCGCTCTCGCAGGTGGAATTGCCCAAAACAAAATCTTAGCGCGCGCCTTCGCAGGTAAGTTAACTATTGCTTATATTTATTTATATACTTATATTCATATTATTATTAGATTAATCAGCTTTCAGCCTAAAAATTAAGCAAAATTTTCTTAAAGCTAGCACACTTTATTAATAGGTATTATTCATAATTCGCAGCCTTGGCTAATGTGTTTCTGTATAATACCTAAAAGATCTTTACACGCCTTAATATTTCGTATTTTTTGCGCTACGTACTATAAATCACTGCTAAAAAATCGTTTAGTGGTCAAAAAGCCAACGCCTACAACGAGATTAACACATTATGATAAATATATACCTATGTATATATTTATTTATATACTATATTTAAATGTTTTTAGCCCATGTCACCTATAAATACGCGCATTAGGCGGCATTGTCAGCCGGTCTGGGCCTGAAATAAAATTCAAATATTTTGGGTAAAATTTTTGTTGTGGATTTGCTTTAAGGCCACGCAGACCACAATCACATGCCACTTGCCACTTGCTGCATGCCACATGCCACAAACTCCAATTGCAGAGCGTGCACGTAGCTGGCGCAAAACTATGTAGATGCGTGTTTGGCTGCGGATTCGGATTGGGTTCGCATTCGAGGCGTGTGAAATCGAGACCATTGAAATTGAAAACGCTCAATGAAAACTTTTGCGGCTCAGCCTTGGATTGAATTGCATTTCCCTTGCCAGCGAGGCCAGCCAGGCCAGCCAGGCCAGGCGCCTGGCCCCGGCAAACTTCTGTGGCCCCTGTGGCCACGTAACTGACCCACATCAACAGCAGAGAGCTAGAGAGAGCGAGAGAGAGGCAGAAGCAGCTGACTCTCTGCCATCAAAATGCCATGCAAACGATTTTTATGGCATGTGGCAAAAAAGTTTTGGCTCTACCAATAAAGAAAAAGAGCGCACATTTCATAATTGTGCACGTTTCGGGCAGGGCCAAAAGTTCGGGCCAGGCCAGCAGAATTTTCAAGGTACAACTGCCAATGGGGCGTATGCGCCATAAAGGTTACAATAGGCAGACGCTGTCGCCCAAGAAAAGCTCAGCCAAATAATGAAGGACTCAAATTAAGCTTAAATAACAAATGTGTGTGCTAAAGAAATGCCAAGAAACTGGATTGAGCAACATCTCGATGCCAACTAAGTGGAATTGCACTGAAGTACAAAAGTCCTTAATGGGAAATAATAAGAAAACAGAACACATTTATTTAACTTTCATTTTGTTCAATAATCAGCTTATGTTTGTTGCATGCCAACCAGATTATTTCTGGCAGGCAAAAGGCATATTTAAACATCGCCTTACTCTGCGATTCTCATGAATTCAAGTAAGCCCTTGCATGTTTTCATGCCTTGATTGTGAGTGTGTTGTTGGGTTGATATTCTAATAAAAGTTAACTTTTACTTTCACTCTCTGTCTCTTTCTCTCTCCCTCTCTCTCTGTCTCATTTTGTGCTCTCTTTCCCGTTACTCCAGCTTACTCTCGACTTCTATTGCTCTTTTACTGATGCATTCATCATCATAACATCATTGTGAAGCGGCTCAGGCTGGAGCTCTTGGCTTCAGCATGGCTACTTGAGCTTACGAACCCCTAAAGTGCTCACATGCTAGTTCTGGCCAACTTTGTGCGCCTCTGCCAGCTATCTAGGCCTTGGCTATGAAAGTGCTTTCAACAGGCGCTGGCTTCGAGTGTAACGACTGCACTCAGCGCTGATGAATTCATTAATTATTTTCCCTAATAGAATCTGCCAGTGGCTCAGACAAGGGAGTCCTTACTAGTTATGGCCTGAATGTGTCTGTTTAATTAAATTAAATGCATTGAGTTATGTTCCAGCTGGCTGCCAAAATTCGATTAATGCCTGACATAATCTTAAAGTTCTACAAAGAGAGTAGAGTGGAGTTCTCAACTGTATTCAGCTCTGCTCCTCGAATCCTTGCGAACAGACAACGCCGCGCAGCCGTTGTGTTTGCTCAACGGCACGCAGCTTTTTTATGTTAGTTTTTATTTCTGTTGCTGTTATCATTAGCTAACAAAACTCGTGCAGCACAGCTACATATATGTGCTTTAAGGCTATTAAATGCAGGCAGCAAGGCGCTCGCTCAGTGTGCAACCGGCAACAACAACAAGCGACAACAACCTTAGAAACAAGTGGGCCTTTGGGCTGTGAACTGTCAGCTTCACATCTCTTCTGCCTGGCTTAAAGCAGCCTCCACACTCGTATATATACTATATATATATACTAGATGTCTGTAGAATGAGGGCAACTGCAGCGCGTCTTTAAATAGTTGCAGACAACCCGCTGTTTTGCATATGAACATTTCTCTCTCTCTTTGTCTATGTGTGTGTGTGTGTGTGGGGGGAGGGGAAGGGGGGTGGGCGTTGCAACTATTTTCTTTATTCGACTATGGGCATATTTTATTTCCCCTCCGCTTCTGCCTTTAATTAAAGTTCTATTTTCATTTGTTGTTTGGGCCGCACAGCAGCGGGCGGAAGAGCAGCAAAAAAAAACTAGTTAGTGGCGCCTGCCTGGGCGGCCCATCACAGTCGCCCGCACCCCCCACCCATCCCGCCACCCTTCCGGCCCGCGTTGACCACCTGCCGGGAAGCGCTGCCCCTGCAACTGTCGTTGGCTGCTGCAATTAATTAACTTCGCTTCGGTTTATTCATTGGGCCAACTTTATAAACAATACCCAAACGGCCAAAGCCTGCCGCTGCTGCAGCTATTTGTTTATGCATCAATTGGGTTAATCACTTGAACTGTGCATTAGACGGGAGATGGGGAATTTAGTTCTGTTTACTTGTTTCCGCTCGCAATTGGCCATAATTATGGTGCTTGAAAGTTTATATTGAGGGAAGGCGCAGCATGAGAAAGTTGTATTTCATTGCGGCTTAAAATGTGTGTTTATTATTTTGGTAAATTTGGCGATCTGTTAGCTGAATAGGAAGAGGAAGAGGAGAGGCCAAGAGGAGGGTAATTTTGTCATGAAATGTGTAACGAACCAGCTGGATCGGACCACTTAATCATATAGCTGACATACATAGAAACAATCGGTCGAAAAGTAACTTCTCTTAAGGAAAGATATCTTAACCCAAATGTAAAATCTTCTGAACATCGGGCCACTATATGATATCGCTGCCATGGGAAAGATGGGTCGAAAGGTAGATTATTATATGACAAAATATTCTGCTATCCAAGATTTTTCCCTTAAAACTCAACATTTACAAGCTTCACTATACTCACATATCTGCAAAAGATTAATGTCTGCAAGGGTATTAAGCCTTCGGCGTGCCGCAGATACTCTTACTTATTATTAATCTTGAACATAGCTGCATACTTTGGCCTTTGGCCCTGCCAACAAGAGCCTGTAGATATGCACTCGATCGAGCTCGAACATCGTTGTTCAGATTTAATTAAAGTTGTTATTGGATTCGTATGAAATGTGTAAACAGTATAAACTTTTAATTATAAAGGTGTCAAAATCTCCTAATAGCCGCCTATAAGGCTGCCCAAATAGCAGCCATTACATGGCCCCAGGCCCCCAAATATGCGCCTGGCCGGCAGGTCAAGTACACGAGCATGTCAAAAAGTTGTGACATAGCCATGTGATGGGTCAACGGCGCCGCCCATCAGAAACCAAACACTCACTATTATGATTCTATAGTGCGGCATTGTTGTGGCGTGCGAGCGCAACCAAGTGCATGCCCACGCCCACGCCCCAGCTAACGCCCACAAGAATGCAGCACACAATGCCGCAGAGGAGCGTGGGGCAGGAGCTGGGGCAGGAGCTGGAGCAGAGAATGCCTGGCATGTGTTGTCGTGTCGTAGGACCTGCGCCAGGCGGACGCAAGGAAGGAAGGAAAGCTGCCTGGTTGGCTGGCAAGGCAAGGCAAGGCATGTGGGGATTTGAGTCGGGAAAGTCAGCCGGAAATGCGCATAATGAAGCGCTGTGGAAAATGTGCCACATGTAGCGCTGTGTGGCATCCACAGCCAACTGTCAGCGCGGCGTTGAATGTGTGACTGACGGCTTGATAAACTGATATGCATAGCCCGGCCGGCGTCAATGTTGCGGCAACTGCATCCAGTCGAGGGCTCGGCAGAAGCTCTAATGATTGCGGCTGCAACTTGCCACAAATTGGGCAGCAGAGGCGTGCGTAAGTCTGAATAGATGCAATTAAAATAAAATAAATAAAAATAATTGTTAACAATTGTAGCTTTTAATTGTGCAATCATTCGCACAATTTGCCGATAAACAAATGCCAGTAAATCAATTTGTCCCCCGTTTCGCAATGCACTTTAAAGCATTGTCAATGCCAATTTAATTGCGCAAAATAATTGTTGAGCCCAGTTGATAAGCCGCAGCAAATCGGTTTAAGGCTTAAAACAAATAGTTAACTGAAATTTAAATACCCGAGCAAATCAATAAAGCGGGTTTCGGTTTCCATTTCAATTTGCTGTCATTTGTTATGCATACTCGAGGCACTAAAAAACAAATTGTGGAAACTGCTTTAATTGTTGCTGCGAGCTCTGCTGTATTCAATTATGTACAAATCAATTAAAGTAATTGCGGATATGTACATATCAAATGCATTTATTTCATTTTATTATTAATCTATTTTACTGCCTTGTTTGACTGCAATGGAAGTTAAATTCATTACGGCTCTTTTTGCCTTTTATAATACTACTTGACTTTTGTCTAGGAGCAAAATATACGCAA